CTGGGCGTGGATGGGCGTGGTTGAGGTCCGGCAGCGAACACTGTGGATCGCGGGTCGCAGTTGAGCAAGGACGACGAGGACGACGAGGAGGACGAGGAGGAGGAGGAGAGGAGGAGGAGGAGCAGGAGGAGGAGCAGGAGGAGGAGCAGGAGGAGGAGGAGGCAACTGACATAAAATCTAACAACCCTCACCTGGCAGGTGGGGAAAAAGATTTGGAGATTTCATGAGATTTCCAATTGCCACGTCTGTGCTTCATTGTGTTGGATGATGTTGGACCAGAAGCTATCAGCTGATCTACCCTCTGGTAAACTAACATAGCTATGGAACATCACCATTTTTCATGGGAAAATCCACTATAAATGGCCATTTTCAATAGCTATGTTAAATTACCAGAGGGTAATCCATCCATTGCATCGCCCTGCGCAGCCCAGGCTGATTTCTGCCTCCGTGGCAGCTCCCACGGCGACCATCTCCACGGCGTCCCGAGCATCTTCCCCGGCACAATCCATGGTATCACGGCAGTTAAACTTGACGGGCGGCAGGGGAGTCCTCTTGATTTGGTGGAATGAACCCTGCGATACCCTGCGTTTGTTGTAGAAACATGTATATAATATATAATTATATAATACATATATATATATACTGTATTATAATTAATGTATGATGATTGTATCATATGACAGCACATTTCAGGTATGTTGACATAGTAACATATAGTAACAATACCCCCAAAGATAATCAAACATACTCATCTCGGACCCAGGACATGGAGTCAGGTAAAGTGTTCTTGCTTGAGACATGTATTCGTGGAAACATGTGGACACCTGTTTGGGAATACAGATGGGTAATTGTTGGTTTAAAACTTTAAATTTGACGTGATTCTAAGTTGACTTCAGCTTGGTTTGATTTGAATTTGAACTGGATGTGAATTGAATTTGGAATTCAATTAAAATTGAATTTCAATTCAGTTTGATTTGTTTATAATTTGAACTGACCTATATACTTGAATTTGAATTCAATTTGACTTGAATGTGAGTTTAGATTAGCTGTGAATTGAACTAAATGAGAATTGGCTCTGAGCACGAAATGGAATCTAGGTTGAAATTGAATTAGAATTGACTTTTATTTGAATTTTTCGAAGGCCCCCAGATTAGGGATCTTTATTTGGAGGCATCAAAGAATGCACTCACTTTAGGTTCCTGCTTGTTTCTAGGCTACCTCCTTTGCAAGTTTGTTGGGAAGCATTACCGAATCAAGATGCAATAAAGAACATGCAACTTCAGGACCTGGAGTCTTTTTGAGGTCAGATTTTCAAATAACACATGGCAAAAAAACACCTCCAAACATGTTTCCGGATTTGACTTCATTGCGGCCGGGCATCATAAAAGAAATATGATCCCACACTGGCAACTATGCACAGCCAATTCTTGGTTGTAACTCGGTATGACCAAAGGCAGTCAGAGGAAATTGGGATCAACACCGACTAAAACCCAAGTTGCGAGTGGTATGCGTGGATGTATTTGGCCGTGTAGGTCAAGCCAAAATTGGTTTATCCAAGAGTACTTTACCCTAAAAACCATGGGTTTACCATCATTTTCCCCAAACACATTGCCACAAGCAAACCGAACAAGTGCTTATTGATTACTACCAGCTGGTAGTATAATACTCCAATTGCTACCTGTATGCCGTATATATATATAATATACATATATATGTATATAATCACCACCCCTTTAAGGCTGCTTTTGAGGGGGGACCATACCAAAATGTAAGATACATTTTTTGCCCCCCCCCTTAAATGTAAGATTGGTCGCTGAATGTCCCCCAGGTGTCGTTTTTGTGGGGAGGGTCTTCAAAATACCTTCAAAATGTAAGCTTAGATTTTCAAGGCCCCCCTCAAAAACACCTTGAAACATGTAGCTTACATGTTGGGTACGTCCCCCCTTAAAACGGTGGTGATTATATGCATAAATATATATATATATATATATATTTGAAATTATATATTTACAAACCTTTTGGAACTTAATTTTGATATACCATCGTTTGGCCAATTTTTGGTAGCAATTAACTTGAACAACGTCTACCAACCCGATTATTGAGATATACTGCTGTACCACCGTACAAATACGTTGTGATCAAACGCATTACACACTGGACATTTACTCAAGAATTACTGCATATAGTTATCATCAACTAACCCACTACTGTAGTTGTTGTTTTCTCCGAGATATATATATATATATAGTCAATATATTATAGTCTATAGTTTGCTTGGTATTTACCACCATTTTACTAGTAAAATACTAATTCATCATATGTACACACATATAATATATGTATAATAGTTATATCACACAGTGAATCACACACAAGCGCACACACATATACATACATACATACATACATACAAACAAACATACATACAAACAAACAAATACATACAAACAAATACATACAAACAAATACATACAAACAAATACATACCAACAAATACATACCAACAAATACATACCAACAGATACATACCAACAAATACATACCATTACATACCATTACATACCATTACATACCATTACATACCATTACATACCATTACATACCATTACATACCATTACATACCATTACATATCATTACATACCATTACATACCATTACATACCATTACATACCATTACATACCATTACATATCTTTACATACCGTTACATACCGTTACATACCGTTACATACCGTTACATACCATTACAGTACATTACATTACATTACATACATACATATATACATACATACATACATGCATGCATGCATGCATGCATGCATGCATACATAGATAGATAGATAGATAGATAGATAGATGCATAGATAGATAGATAGATAGATAGATCGATGGATCGATGGATCGATAGATCGATAGATCGATAGATCGATAGATCGATAGATCGATAGATCGATAGATAGATAGATAGATAGATACATGCATATATGCATACATGCATACATGCATACATGCATACATGCATACATGCATACATGCATACATGCATACATACATACATACATACATACATACATAGATACATAGATACATAGATACATAGATACATAGATACATAGATACATAGATACATAGATACATAGATACATAGATAGATAGATAGATAGATAGATAGATGGATCGATGGATCGATGGATCGATGGATCGATAGATCGATAGATCGATAGATCGATAGATCGATAGATCGATAGATCGATAGATCGACAGATCGATAGATCGATAGATAGATAGATACATGCATACATGCATATATGCATATATGCATACATGCATACATGCATACATGCATACATGCATACATGCATACATGCATGCATACATGCATACATGCATACATGCATACATGCATACATGCATACATGCATACATGCATACATGCATACATACATACATACATACATACATAAATAATTTACAT